AGGGGGGCAGAGTGTCGGATTAAATTCAAATTAAAGGTCAGGATTGAGATGAGCACAACGTGCAGCTGCGAATGGGCTTCGTGGGCATCGCATGGACACTTAGGCTCCGAGGACAAAGCCTGAGAAACGACCATACTAGGGCAAGAAAGCCAAACCCAGCATGAATCCTAAACCCTAAACCCTAAACCCTAAATCCCAAACCCTAAACCCTAAATCCTAAACCCTCAACCTTTAAAGCCGCCCCAATAATTCCCCTAAACCCTAAAAGACTCCAACCTAGCGACACCTCATGTGGGATGGCCTCTCGTAGTCCCTGCATTTTTGATTGAAGGACACTGGGGACTTTGCAGGCCTTGTGGCAGGCTTGTGGCTTCAGAAGAAGCCACGACCCGTTCACAGACAAGATTCGCCATCAACTTTGAACCTAAACCCTGAACCCTAAACAACCCGAAACCCCTAAACCCATAAGTCCTGAACAACCCTAAACCCCTGCAGACCCCAAAAAGACCTTAAACACTACGCCCAAAACCCCTCTTTATTCCGAAGAGTCCTGATATGGTTGCACGATGATCTACCCTCAAACCCCCTAAACCCTAAACCCTTAAACCCCTCTTGTGATAATTGTAATTCAAGCTCCCCAGATTGCAGCCCAGTGGCTATCGACTCCAGCCCAACCCTTACAGCGCCCCTCATAGTCTCCTTTACTTAGAGTTTAGGGTTTAGGGTTTAGGGTAGCCCCAAAAAGTTGACCTTGTAAGTTATACTAGGATTATATAAGCCCCAAAGGGTTCAAGGTTACCTACCAAGCCCCTAAGCTTATTTAAAGGAGCCCGCAAAGGAACCCACAGAGAACCCGGTAGTAACCCCTATAGCATCGCTCAAAGGAACCCCCTTAAAGCAACCCACGGAGATCCCATAACCCTGCCAACCCACGAGAAGCTATCCCATCTTAGGAACCAGAAAGGAAACTTAAAATCGGACACCCGACACCCCTAACCCTAAACCCTAAATCCTAAACCGTAATTTACGTCTCGGACTTAAAATCCTAGACCCTAAACCCTAGACCCTAAACCCTGAACCCTACGAAACTCTCCGCAATCCCAGTGGCCATCAGCTCCAGCACTCTTTGCGGAGCAGGACCCGGTAAACAGCGCGCCGCACGATGCGCGAGGTCCTCCAAGGGCTGGTACCACCTGAAGGGCTTAGGGTCTAGGGCTGCGGGTTTCACTAGGTCAGGGTTTTCATCCGATTTTGTTTTTGAGCTCCTTTTTCCGCCTGCAATATCCATACTACAGTCAGAAGCTCTCACGAAATCCGATTTAGGGTTTAGGGTTTACAGGTTTCATTAGTTTCGGGTTTAAGGTTTAGGGTTCAGGGCCATAGTTGTTCATGCAGGTTTGGGGTTTCGTGATGTGGAGATTTAGCTGGTGCTGCACCTGAGAGCGCCTTGGCCGATGAAAAGGATTACTATCTTGGTTTCAGTGTGTAAGGTCTGGGGCTGGAGGTTTAGTTTCAATGGCAAAAGGATTCGGGTTTAGTATTTGGCGTCGAGGGTTACGGGTTCTGTGAATAGAATGGCTTGCTTATGCAATGTAGCACACACAAGTTGCTGGCAAACCCGGCTCAGGTAGGCAGATTACGTGCAGGCCTGAATAATGAGCCGCTCCCGAGAAAGGATTACGACAGGAATCCTACCAGGAAGACCCTTGCGGAAAGCGGCTGTGTAGCTTAGGGGTCTTCGGCATGCTAGCTTATAAGACTCTAAACATCAGTTGAACTGACCGTTCACTGTTAGGAGCCTGGGTGTCCAACACGAACCCTGATTTAAAGAGCTACCCATGCGTCAACCTATGGAGGTGATATCAAAGCCTAGCGCAAACCATACACGCTGGAACCCTCAATCGAGAGTTTGCACAGGGTCCAAGTCATCACAGAACCGGAACAATGCGATAATGTAGGGGTCTTAGTAGTTAGAATAGGGTTTTGGGGCCCCTTATACTATGATTAGAGTAAGGAACCCCAAAATAATATTGGTAATGATTTAGGCCCCAAGTACTTCGGCAACCCTCATCCCATAAGGAGCATACCTTAAACTCTGGATGGATCCTCGATCGGGTAAGGTATATTTGTTGATAAGGCGCTTGGGGTTATTTGTCAACGCTAACCCACTTATACCAACCTCTGTACAATTTTTGCGCACCATAAAACCGGATATCACCAAACATCCCATAACAACGCACTCCATAAACTGACTAAACGAGCCGTAGAACGCCCTTCTCATGCCGTGTATGATCACCCTAAACCCCCAGCCTTAAATCCTCAAATCCTCAACCCTAAACCCCAAAGGCCCTGATCCCTTAAACCCCCTAAACCCTATAAAAATCTTGAGCTAAGTATCGGGGTCTACTTTTGTCCGAGCTGCTTTCGGATGTAGAAGTTCAGGGGCAGCCGCTGCAAACCTCAGAGCTTGGTCTGAGAGCCAAGGGTGGGGTGTAGGGTTCAGAGTTTAGGGTTTAGGGTTTAGAGTTTAGGGAGTCAAGCACAGGATTACAAAAGCAGCAAGTTCGGAGAACGTACACTGTGAGGGCCCAACAACCTGCCAAACAGAAACTCTTAAACTTAGGGGCTGAGTACCCTAGGCCCCAAAAAGTTGACCTTTTGAATCAGAGTAGTTTTTATAAGCCCCAAGAGGTTTAAGGTTACCTACTCCTAAATAAACCCTAAACCCCTAAATCCTAACCCTGAACCCCTAAACCCTAAACCCCTAAATCCTAAACCCTAAACCCCTATATCCTAAACCCTAAACCCTAAACCCCTAAATCCTAAACCCTGAAGGAAACTCTTGCGGGGGCCGGGCCGCGGCTCTGCTGAGGGCGGCCCGCGGGACAGACAGAGCAACATGACCAGGGACACTTAATAGTTAGAATAGGGTTTAGGGTTTAGGGTTTAGGGTTTAGGGTTTAGGGTTTAGGGTTTAGGGGGTTCCTTATTGTATGTTGGGTCCCCAAACCCTCTTCTAATTATGAAGGCCCCTCTGTTAGACTCACTGGACCTACGAGCGGAACAGTCAAAGCCGAACAGCCTTTAGGCTCTTTAGGGTTTAGGCTTCTGTCCAGCCTCATCTCACCCTGAAGAAGAGGCGCACGAGAGCGGCGGACCGCGGTTTGTATTAAGGTTTAGGGTTTAAGGTTTAGGGTTTAGGGTTTAGGGGTTAAGGTTTAGGGTTTAAGGTTTAGGGTTTAAGGTTTGGGGTTTAGGGTTTAGGGGTGAGGGCGGGTTGCTACGCAGACTTTCTGGCTTTGGGGATTTGGGAAGGTCGGGTGCATGTGGGGCTAAGACCCCCCTTTGGGATTCGTACCAACAAGGCTCCCCCAACCCCGAAAACCCCAAATCCTAAAGCCCCTAATCTCTTAAATTCTATAACTACCTTGCTGTCTTTCAAAAAAAAAACTGTCTCCAAGCCAGTGTCGAACCCTTCAACTCAGAATCCACCCTGCGAACCTGCGGAGCTTCATGCCAACTGCCCTGAGCCTTCAGAGACTCTAGCGATTCAGCCATGGCCTCAGATGGCAAAGCTTACAGTGTCCCTTATAGAACCCTTCTAGAACAGAACTTCCTTTCTAAAGCCCTTGATTACTGAATATAGTACCCCTTATAAGACTCTGACAGAATATAGCATCCTAGAACTCTGATAGTAGCCCTAAACCCTAAACCCTAAATCCTAAACTAAACCATAAACCCTAAACTAAACCCTNNNACACCGTAAACTAAGCCCTAAACCCTCTCGGTAGAGCAGTCCCAGGCGCTGTAGATGCACTGCAGCGTCTCCACACTGAGAGCCGGCTCGGCAGGCATCGGAGGGCAGGCAGTGATATCCCAGTCCTTGCTCGGTTGAGGTTTAGGGTTTAGGGTNNTTAGGGGTTTAGGAGTTTACGGTTTAGGGTTTAGGGTTTGGGTCTTCTTCGGTTTGCGGCTTCCCGAAAGCCTAGGACCACCGAAACTGCCTCTAAACCCTCCAATCGATAGGCCCTTAAACGTAGCTGTACCCTGAAGAACCCACCTTCCTAGGGTTCCTTACTATTACTCGCTTATGTAAGTCCGAAAAAAAACGACAGGGTATTTGGGGTACAGGTGTACCCTGAGCCGCAAATAGCTTTTTCGTCAGGTTTACGGGCCCGGAAGTGGGGTCCAGGGCAGTTTGTTCGGGTCTCTTGGGGGTTTTCCCCCATGAGGCAACTGGAAGCCCCTGAAATCCAGATTAATCTGCTATGGTTGGTCGGTCTGGTAGAATCAGGCAACGTACTCATACATGTATGTGTATATATGACTATATATATATATATATATATGAATTTGGTATTCATAACTGTAGGTATATACGTGGATGCGCCATGTTGCTTTAGGGGACCTTTGAGAACGCGCCGAGGGCTCTTGCGGGCTCAAGGGTCGTCTTGGGCTGCAGGCTGCTGGGGATGGCAGGTGTTGGCCCTTTTAATAACGCCTCTGAGCTAGTCGTATTTGAGATCCGCTGAAGACAATAGAGGAAACTAGAAAATGTCCCGAAGGCCTACGTAGTAAAGGCGCAGTGTCTCCAGCTCCGGGATGTATCAAGTCTAAGCCGTGGAGAGTTTCAGAGATATGAACCTGAACAGAGACTCGTAATGGTGAAAACCTGAAGAATTCACAATACCTTAGGGGCTGAGTATCCCAGCCCAAAAAAAGGTTAACCTTTTGAATTATAGTAGGATTATAGGAGCCCCAAAAGGGTAAAGGTTACCTACTCAGCCACTAAGATACACCAAAGAATGGCAGTGCTGATGGGCACACAGTTAAGGTTTAGGGTTTAGGGTTTAGGGTTTAGGGTTTCGGGTTTCGGGTTTAGGGTTTAGGGTTTAGGGTGACACCTTGCCTATCACACCACGACATCGACCGTAGGGGCTGAGGACCCTAGCCCACAGAAAGGCTAACCTTGTCAATCTTGGTAGGATTTGGGGTTTAGGGAGCCTTTTCAATTTTAGTAGGATTTAGGATTTAGGGCTTAGGAAACCTATTCAAATTTAGTAGAATTTAGGATTTAGGGTTTAGGGAGCCTTTTCAAATTTAGTAGGATTTAGGGCTTAGGGTTTAGGGAGCCTTTTCAAATTTAGTAGGATTTAGGGCTTAGGGTTTAGGGAGCCTTGTCAAGTTTAGTAGGATTTAGGGCTTAGGGTTTAGGGAGCCTTTTCAACTTTAGTAGGATTTAGGATTTAGGGTTTAGGGAGCCTTTTCAAATTTAGTAGGATTTAGGGTTTTGAGTTTAGGGAACCTTTTCAAGTTCAGTAGGATTGTGGCAGGCTACAAAGGGCCAAGGGCTATTAAAGATTACCGACTCACCCCCTGCCTGAATTATGTATCACACTGCGCCAACCGACCCCAAGTCACACCGACAACATTGACACAACTCCCTCCGGCAATCTGTCTTAGGGTTTAGGGTTTAGGGTTTAGGGTTTAGGGCGACTTCAACACAAGTGTCCTGAAGTAAAGCTGCTTGCGTTTGGGATAGGAGCCCCGCATAAGAGCCAGGTAGTAGTCGTATCTCTGCACCAATACTGTCGGAGGCCATGCGCCAATAATGTAGGGGCCTTAATAATTAGAATAGGGTTTTGGTGCCCATTATATACTATAATCATAATAAGGAACCCCCAGAATAGTATAGGTAATTATAAAAGCCCCTATATTAGGTTCTCCAACAAAAGCCTAAAACAAGCTCTGAAACTTCGCAAAACACTCGAGTTCCACTGAAGCTTTACTCGAGCCTCACAGCCCTAAACCCTAAATAAACCCTAAACCCTAACCCCTAAACCCCTAAACCCTAACCCCTAAACCCCTAAACCCTAACCCCTAAACCCCTAAACCCCTAAACACTAACCCCTAAACCCTAAACCCTAAATAAACCCTGCTCTGACACCTCGAAAGAGCTTGAAGACCTGAGAGACGGCTACACTTCTGCTTAGAGGTTGAGTGGCCTAGCCCAAAAAACGGTTACCCTTGCAAGTTATATTCGGATTCTATAAGCCCCAAAAGGTTTAGGGTTTAGGGTTTAGGGCTTCAGGGGTTTAGGGTTTAGGGTTTAGGGTTTAGGGTTCAGCCCCAAAAGGTGAAAGGTTACCTACTCAGCTTTTAAGTCTGAAGACTCCGAGCTTCAGAGCTTCAACACGAAGCTTCCCTAACGCACAGCCCTATCTTTGACAATTGCTTGCTCTTGCCCCTTTGACTTGGGTTTAGGGTTTAGGGCTTTTGGGGTTTAGGGTTTATGGCTTTTCGGGTTCAGGGTTTAGGGTCTACGGCTTCGGGTTTATAGGGTTTTGGGCTGTACGCCTTGGCAACGCGGCCCGGAAGCATTGATTTCTACTGAGTCTACTGAGAGACGACCCATGTCACACCCTGTAACGATACACAGTGATGCTCTAAATTAGGGTCTCCTCTAGGGCCGTTTTATGAGGCTGTCGCCTTGTTTTGGAACCAAAACTACCCATATGATACCTCACAGCTATACTTAGAGTCCCTATAATGCCCGTAAAACTTCTTCTTCTTCTTCTTAACACCTAAGCCTGGGACAGCAGCAAGTTGGCTAGGCTCTTAATGGTAACAACAACGAAGATAACGCACCATAAAACATAGTACAGCACAATACAATACAATGCATTAGTATAGAATATTGAACCGTACATAAATTGTTATAAAGTATAGTATAATTCGCAACATTTAAATGTTATGCTGTGTTCTCTAACATAACAACAGCCCTTCACCCCCGAAGCCCTAAACCCTACACCCCCCATGACATAGACTGCTGGTGGCAAAAAGCCAACTAAACCCTAAACCCTAGACCCTAAAACCTAAACCCTAAACAGCCGGGGCTCAACATCTTCGGCGCGGTGCGGTGCGGCGAGGAGTGCAGCGCAGAGAAAGCCGGGTTGCAAGCGGCACATGGGCTGAAGGCTACCCCGGTTTAGGGGTGTAGGGGAAAGGGGATTTAGGGTTTAGGGCTTTAGGATTTAGGGTTTAGGGGTGCAGGAGTTTGGAGCTTCGGGTGGTTTAGGAGTTTCTGGGTTCGGGGTTTAGGGCTCAGGGCTCCGGGGTTTAGGGTCTGGGGTTCAGGGCTTAGACGTGAAGGGCTGCGTTCAGGTCATGCGAGGAAACGGTATGATCATGGCGTCTTGCACAAGTGCTCTCGGGGCATGGGACTACGGCTAAGGCTTACGGACTACTAACGATACAAGAGGGGCCTTCATAACTAGAACAGGCTTTTGGGGGCCCATTATACTATACCTATA